CATTTTCTGAATAAAACGAAAAGGTATATAATAAAAGGAAAATTATGTTATAGTAGCTTTCTGAGACTATGTATTTTTCTACTCGCAACGTTGGAAAATTGATATCTCGCTCGACCTTCGGTCTCACGAGATATCAATTTTCCACCGCTGCTCGTAGAAAAATACAAAGCATCAGAAAGCTACTACAACATAATATTCCATATATCTTTTCCACACACAGAAAGCCTCAATTTTAGGCGCCTTTCTCTAACATATTGACTATGATGTCGGTAAGCAAGGTCCTATAGGGAGTCGTTACATTTTCTATAGTCAATTATTCGCAAATGGAGAACAAGGGAATAAGGAGAGTTTGTTTTTTGTTGTGGTTTAAGGTTTGTTTGTTGTTTTTTGTGTGTGTGAATTTTGTTGTTGTTTTGTGTGTGTCTTTTTGTTGTTGTTGTTTGGGGTTTTTTTGTGTTGTTGTTGGTTTTTTTGTGGGGGGTTATTGGGGGATTTATGTTTTTAATATAAATGTATTTTTCATAAATAAATTCTTAATAAATTTAAAGACATTGTTATAGATATTATTAAGGCAATAATTTTACTTAACAGGTTGGCGTATTTGCAAAAAATAATATTTCTGTTACCTCTAATGAATTGCATCAATGAAAGATTGTTATTTTATAACCAATTAAATTGCATGGAAGACATTTACATAAAATGTGATTGATTGATGTAATAACTGTACTTGTTTCAATATTAATCAAGTTGAATGATAACACAATTTATATTCATTCTCGAGTAAAAACTTGTTACCATTAACTTAACGTTTTGTTAATAAAGATTATAGATGGTCAAATAAAAAAAATAAAGCAAATATATTATCAGAGATTCAACTAAGCGATAAGGACAAAGCATAAAACATATTTATACAAATTGTCACTATTTTCTTAAATTTCATAGCGAAAGTTTTTCAATGTAACACATGATTATAAATGTACCTTAATGATTTAACTTTATTTAAAGTTCAAGCTACATTAATTTTAGCTTTAATCTTTCTTAGTCTCATTTTTTATTAAAGAAATTCAATATAGCAGCAAAACTTTACTTGTGCTTTAACTCATTTTGTGTTTATTCAAACAAAATCCCTCAACAAATAGTTAAAGCCATCTTCATCAAGAAAGAAATTCTGTATCTCCTTCTATAATAGAAATATAAAATCGAATATTTGTAAACTTTACAATAACAAAATTGTCTCCGACCTAGACGTCGAGTCTAACACACCAACTAGTTGAGACTGAAAAATTTCTAAATTCTGTAACTTGGATTTTGACCATATAATCACTGGTGATTTTGTTATAATAAACGACAAGAGATTCCGTAATTTATTTCTTAAAGGACCAAAATAACGAATTCCTTCCGATTTTGATTTTAATGCTTGTCGAAGTCAGATAGCTGAATCGATCGAGGACTTTTCAGTAAAATGGTGTCGTCGCGAAAATGCTGATAGTTATGCACTTAATTCATGGAAACATAATATATTTAATATTATTGAAACACGCATCGAATTTTACCGTGGTAATGAACATCCCTTAACAACTAAACCTAGACTTATTTTACGGCATCTCAGAAAGGATATATTAGCGTTCCACTCTAAATTTGTTTTAGTTCCGGCAGACAACGCGGCCAATAACATAATAATTGTATTACGTATTAATTATATAAATGTTTTACAAAATGCACTTAACAGCACCAATACTTATTCTAAAACCGTTCTTTCTGAAAGAGATATTGTGAACAGTCATATTCTTAGTATTTCTAACTTTAAAGTACGTGTTGATGAGAAAGAGCTTAAACTTCCTATCATGTACTGGATTCCAAAATTACATAAACCTTCATATAAAGCCCGCTTTATTGCTAATTCTTTATCTTGTACTACCAGTAATCTTTCTATTTTATTGACTTCTTGTCTTACTGCCATCAAGACACATGTAATTAGATACTGTGAAACTGTTTATGAAAATACGGGCACAAATCTTTTTGGTCTATTAAAAATTCAATTGAAATTTTAGATAAGTTTTAAGTTAAGAATTATCAAGCTTCATCTGTAAGTACTTACGATTTCTCTACCTTATATACAACATTGCCGCATAATCTTATAAATGATAAATTAGTATCTTTAAATTAAAAAACATTTGCACGAGAACAGGTCACGTTTCTTGCTTGCAATTAAAAGAAGGCTTTCTTTACCAATGTTATCATTAAAAAATATACAATGTGGACCTGTGACAAAGTTTGTAAAGCACTTTCTTTTTTATTAGATAACATTTTTGTCAGGTTTGGTAATACAGTTTTCAAACAGGTAATAGGCATTCCAATGGGAACTAATTGTGCCCCCCCTGATAGCTGATTTATTTCTTTATTGTTATGAGAGGGATTTTATGTTAAGTCTTTCCCCTACTTCGCATCAGGAAATTATACATGCATTTAACAACACTTCCCGCTACCAAGATGGTATTTTTAACATAAATAATCCTTATTTCGATCAATTGGTTTCTAAAATATATCCCAGTGAACTTAAATTGAATAAAACTAACTCGTCAGACGTTATTACATCTTTTTTAGATTTAAACATTTCTATCATTAACAATACTATAGTAACTAAAATCTACGATAAAAGAGATGATTTTGATTTTAGTATTGTTAACTACCCACATTTAGATGGAGATGTACCTCATGCTACATCATATGGGGTGTATATTTCTCAATTAATTAGATTTGCTAGGGCGTGCAGTCGTGTTGATAATTTTAATGAACGCAATTTATTTATTACTAACAAACTTCTTAAACAAGGTTATCGCTATCATAAATTGCGTAAATATTTTACTAAGTTTTACCATCGTAATTCAGACTTAGTTTTAAAATTTAATTGTAGTTTAAAAACTCTTTTACGACAAGGTATTACCAAGCCTGACTTCTATGGAGATGTGGTTTACCAACTTCGTAGGATCATGGGTCATAGTAATTTTTCTGCCGTCTTCACTAAAATTATCAAACAGTTTATTAAAAGAGGTTATGACCCAATTATTTTAAGGCATACCGCATGCTTGGTGTTCAACCCTTTTACAGTTTGACGCAACGCATTCCTCTTTTGATTACATCTGACGGACCAAGTGGGAGACTCTATAATGGACAGTTCTTAAAGCCCTTTGGGGACTGAATTGTCTTGATGTTCGTCTTCTGCCTTGCTTCGTCGGGCCCTTGTAGCAGATTTTCTTGTTGCTCTGCCTTCTCTTTAAGGCATCGAGTACTTTGGTAATGGTCATTAGGCAGTAACTTTTTTCTACATATTTACATAATTTTGTATGTGTTTTATTTATTTCGTCTAATGTAACAATGACCATTGTTAGAATTTCACTTGGCGGGGATGAATTTTATATACATTTTCGTGTCATTCAGGAACATATTGGGGCTAAGAGTGAGGTTTGGCGCGCCTAAAACCGGTTTAAACTCCCCAGTGGTTTAACTACCACTGACCGATCGAAGGCATACCCCCCTTTGTGTTCCTTCACGTGTTTCTATTGTCTGTATTGTAACTTGTTTTTGGATGTTTTGTGATGTCTGTTTTGTCTTGTTGGATTGTCGTTGACGGTCGGTATTTTCTCTTCCCCCCCCCCTTCCATTTTTATACCCCCCCCCCCCACATTTTCACCCATACAACCCGTTTCCATTTAATTCCTTATGGGCCTGTTTTTTTGTTTTGCCTTGTTTGATCTTTATTCTTGTTATTTTACAATACATTATTAAATTAACTTTTTAATATTAGGCACGTTTTCACTTCAAATTTAAGGATAATATGAAGTTCACCACGACATTATGAACATAAAACTAGGCCCTTATGCAAACAGTACGACCTTTATTAGAAAACTCGGCTATTATGAGATTGGAGAATTTTGATTGGCTCTCCAGCTCGGCCTTTATGAATCTGCTTTTTTATTTTAAAAAGTCGCCATTTTGAATTGCTGCAATGTAGGTTTTCGAGACATTTTTAATACAAGAATAACATATGCAATACCTCACAACAACGGAATTTCACATTAGTTATTTCTTGTTCACTCAGTACTTAACTTTTTTAGGTTATGTGTAGTAAATTAATAAAATTGTCAATAATAAAGTATTTTCATAATGGCCTTGTTATTGGGCTTTCGACTGTCATATCAGCCTTCGGTCTTTGGCCTCAGGGTAATATGACAGTCTTCAGCCCAATAAGAAGGCCATTATGAAAGCACTTAATTATTAACATTACAATAACAACTGTTTATCAAGTTATTATTAACCCTGAACCTACTGTTAATGTATTTGTCCGAATTTGAGTTTGAAACGTTCATTTGAAAATTAATGGATTCAAAGTAGAGCTAGCAACCATATAGAAAGTGCACAGGCTGCACGAGCGTACAGGCTCGCCTTGCGAGCATGCACATGGATATTTGCATGCACACGGATAAATACAGCTTTAACATATGCAGCTTTATGCTTGAGGACGTAGGCTCTGTACATTTTACCACTACAACTCAAGAAGACACTAGAACCGGTTTTTGGAATGGCCAGTTTTTCATAAATATCTATGATACTTGTATGGTACTGAATTCACAGCGGAGGTAAGCTTTGTTATTACTTTGGTAAATTGAGATTGGACTATATAATGTACTCAGTATTGGATAGGTAAATAAGATAAGAGGTTGTCATATCATGGTCGATTAACAGTCGTGTTGTATAATTTGGGAGCGAATGCTATTGTGCACAATGTTAATCTCTATGGGTAACTCCTCTACTCGATCTGTTCAAATGTGAACCTGGCTACGTGGACTTCCAGTCACGAAGTATGAGATCTCTCATAGTAGATCTTTGTTTTAATAGAATTGTTCTTGCACACAAACATAATTATAGCTTTCAAATCGATGAATACATGAAGACTATAAAAAGTCATATAGTTTCTTATCCTAGACAAAAACAACGTAACATAATGTATCACTTTTATTATCAAAATTCATTTCATTTGTGTTTATTTGTAAGATAAGAGAAAGAAAACGTAAAGAAAACAAACAGAAAGTTGTAAATTTAGAATGGATTGCTTATTTTATCTTGGTTCTTTGCTGACGCTTTTTTGTTGGTAACACTGGTACTGGTCAATTGTTGTTTTAGTGTACTTAACGAAATCCTTTGGTACTAGTATTGGTATGGGTAAGGGTATCCCTGAAATTATAAATTAACAAATTGTAGCTAAATGGTTTTCATCTAAAACTGAATAAGACATTAAAATAAAGTATTTAATACAATTATAGAGTTTTTTTTAAAAAAAAAAAACAACAAAACTTTGTAACGGCTAAATAATTAAATTAAAGTAAATGTTTATCATTAAACGTGTTTTAAATAACAAACTTGTATATTTATAATAATGATTGTTAATAGATTGTAAATGCTTTGAATATTTATTGAATAAATGTCTGCCATGTTTGTTCATCAATGTTGTAAACTTCTCTGAAGCATGTGTATCATTTTGAAAAGTACTCACATTGTATCATAACGTTAATTCTTTTTGTGATTGTCTTAAAATTGCACCTATTACTTTTTGAAAAGATTGATAAAAGACAGATAAACTCACCGGACAACATCTTCTCATTACAGGGTATCTGCTACAGTACCCACAGAAACGAGTGCCGCGTGGACAGTATCCGTGATAACAATCACCATATTGAGCTGAAGAGATAATGAATCGTTATGCTTCATTTTGAGCTAAGTTCCGGTACATACAAACTTATCAAATAAATTAAATAGAACGTATCAACTAATATATATGGACAATTTTATAGTAATTGTAGAGTAAATAGCGACAACCAAGATCAGCGACAGATATAAGTATAAAGACTTTCACTGCTCATCTGAAACTTTGACATCTTTGGAAGTAAATATCGCATAATTGCGAGCAGAAATAAAGTAATTGACATTCAAATACTATTTCTATGTGGCACAGTAACATGAAACAGCTATTCTGTTATTTATACCATAGTTTTATAATTTATGAAGTTTCTATAGTTTGCATTTCAATTCATCATTGTGGCCAATACCGTTCAGTAAAGAAAAATATATATTCTACATATTTCCTTACTGAAGAAACAAACATTCATAACAACTCCTATACCTTTTATATATAGAACTCATAGCAGATAAGAGACGCAGTGCCTTGTCGCATAATGAATGCTGCGGATATTGTAAACTAGAACTGATATACGCACTACCAATGCATCAAAATATCATTATCAAAAGGAATATAATGTATGTACTTTTGTACACTAACATAATTACTTGTTTTACGTACCTTCAGCAACTTCAGGCAGAATTGAAATCGCCAAACTCCCAACAAGAAATAACAGCAATAATAGTTCAGTCATTCTTACGAAATATTTCCAAACACGTAGAAAGTCCAAGGATGCTATGTGTAAATATTGAGTCCCTGAAGACTTATTGGCGACGCCGGCAAGCGGCGTCGTCTCTTATGGAATGCTTTTTATTTTGGTCTATGGAAGGAGCTGTTATCATTAGCAGTTAATGTCATGTTGGGGTTATTAGTTGCAGGCTCAGTTTAACAGCTTTTCCCTTAGCTTTATTGGCAATACTAAAACCCGGATTTCGAATATCGTTGTGGTCTACATTTATGCCGTATTTTTCATTCATTTATATATTTTCAAAATTTTCCTACAAGAAGAACGTTCATCTGCAATGAGTGTTAGGATTGGTTATGGAGCTGTTGTAAACGATTACCCTATTGATTTTATCCATATTACGTTTATCTATTGCACATAATGATTGTTTTTACAAAATGTACCAGTATCCGGATGTGGAAACCTATCCGATTTTCTGCAATTACTCCTGTCACATGGCCATCTAATCTTTTATGAATACTTTACCATAGTTTTGCATGGCTTAATAAAACTGAGCCAGCAACATTTCATAATTTTGCTGTTTAGGGTGTTCTTTTGGGTGTCAGGTTTTCTCTAATTTAAGGGGAAGTAACTAATGTTTACTAAATTATTTGTTCTATTTTAGGTATTACTTACTATTTTTGTTGTATAAAATTTACCAGTTGTAAGGTCATCAAAAGCATAGAGGCCCTGAGGAGTGAATATTGATAAATTATTTTACTGGCTTTATATACCTTAGACTGGATTTTTCTAGTTTGTTCAGTTAGTACATACCTACAGGTATTCTGCTACAGGATCTTCTAATCACTATGTAAAACTAATTATTATTTTCTATGTGTTTGTATATAAATTGTTAATAAAATAAACTTTGGTAAAAATGAAAGGTAGAAAATTAAAGCCGATATGTTAATAGGATGTACGTCATATTTATTTTTAATGGAAACTGGGAATTATTATGTTATGTGCATACATGTATATATAATGTGACTTAAAATATTTCTTTATCTAAAGACTTAAAGTTATGATGGATGAGACTTTCATTTAAATTTATAAATGATAATACAGGTATTGATTAGTCTACAGATACTTTATACAAAGTGTTAGCTGGCTAATAATAGTATCTATAATAGAGTTTATACATAATAGTTTTCTTTCTTCTAGATTTTGAATTCCATCCATTAGAACCAACGTTAATGTTAGCTGGGAATTATTAATGTTATGTGCATACATGAATATCTTAGTATATGGGTATGATGAGACATAATATTTCTGTATTTAAAGAGTTGCAGCTATGACATAATTATTAAAGGGTTGAGACAATGTACATGTATTGATTAGTATACAGGTTAAAAGTTTATACCCAGTGTTAGCTGGCTAATAATAGTATCTATAATAGAGTGAAAAGAATATTGTAAAGGTTGAATTAGCCTGGATGTTGTGGTTTATCTTCTTAACTTATGAGATTTGGCAGGTAACATAATGACCTATCCAGAATTGAGGTTAAAAAAGTGTCCATTACTAGTAATGCCAGGGTCCATGGTGCAATTCCACCATGAAAACCGACAAAGTACAAACAGTAAGCGGACGGCAGATGAAAACATGAAAATACAATCTACTACAAAGTGGTTCATTTGTTGTATTGTCATGTTTTCGCCCGGCGCCCCCTTCTCCAAAATACAAATCAGCCTCCATAATATTTCTTATCAAAGAAAAAGGGTTAGTTTTTTATCGGTACAAAAAAATAGATATTGTACATGTATTAGTACAGTTATGTTCACTTTCAAATTGACCTGTTATAAATAATGGCATAACCAAAAACATTAAGCCTTTTTAGTAAGCATAATTATACAGTATATAAATTGTTATTTTGATTAAGACTATGATTAAGTTTTTTTTCTTTAATTTAGAATTACTATACCTATTAATAAAAAAATCTAAACGTATCTGTCACGGAATAGAACTGCTCACTATTTAAGGGAGAAAATGTGTAAGCGGGGAGATATCTCTATCGCTACAGCTGCAGTACATTATTCTGTGGATCACAGGTTCGAGTTCTGGTCAAGCTGAAAGTTTTTCTCATCCTGTGACTGCATATAACCCTGAGTTTAATTCACTTTGCTCTGTAAACATCAGAAATTCAAGGACACAAATCAATATAGTGGGGAAATGTGTTGTGGTTTAGAACTTTTCATTAATAAAGAGAAAATGTGTAGCCAGTCGAATAGCTCAGTTGGTCTTCTGACAGTCATGGGTTTGAGTGATGGCCAGGCAGTTTCAGTGTCAGGGTTTAGAAGTGGTTTTTCAAGTGACACATGTTTGATTATTTAAGTTCAGATTATATTAGATTTGAAATGGACAAAGGCGGTATTGTATGCGTGATATTTTTAGATCTACAAAAGGCATTCATACTATACTACACATGAAGAAGTTTTTCTTCTTCTTCATGAAACTTCAAGCATCTGCCACAGGTAATGACATACTTACATGGTTCACGTCTTATCTCTAATGGACAGCAGCTGTTGGATGTGGCTGGTTTTCATTCTACTACTGCTCAGAGTACATATGGTGTCCCCCTGAGGTTCATTTTATGTCCTCTTTTATGTCTAAAGTATGTCAATGACATGGCAATAAGCTTTTATTATATGCTGATGACTCAGGTATCCTTGTATCTGGTAAAAAAAAATTAAAGAAATTCTTTCTTATGGCATGAGTCTTATTAATGATTGGTTAATTAACTATAAATTGTCTTTGCATCTTTGCAAGACAGAGTCTATTCTTTAAACGTGACCTAGCCTCCATGTCACATGTAATGTTACTGCAATAAGGTACACATCTATTGTTAAGTATTTAGGTGCAAAACTTGATCAATTTTTTTTTTGCGTCGCCTTTGATGATTTGCACCAATGCTTTTCTTGTATATATACTGTACCTGTGTCATAATGTATAGCCTTGACCTTGCGAAATTTCTCTTTGAATACATTTTTGTCGATTGGGTAATTGATGAGTTACCAGACCGCAGAGGTTTAAAGCAATAAGTAATTTTAAATGACTGAACATCATGCATATAATATTTACGTATTTTGATAGATAGATAATTATATTAAAAACTTCAAATTACTGCATATTGTAAATGTCAATAAAGCTGAATTCTACAAATTAAAATTAAAATTTGCTGAGTAACGTATCATAATTTCATCTGATCAGTGGAACAATAGTCGTAAACTGGAAATAGATAGATATATACCAAATAAAGCAGATTGCTCTCTTTGATCCGCTTTTCTGACATACTAGCAATGTTCAAGAATGATGCTACATTTATTCCAACACAAAAAGAGCAAGGCATGTTATATTGATCCATGTAATTATTCCATTTGACCTGCAAGTGGCAGAAATTTGGAAAATGGCCACCAAGTTACAAGGCATAATAAGAATGTATATTTACAAAGAATATACTAGTACCTGCTTCATGATACTTTTATAAGTGTGCCGCCATAATGCTAATGGCCGTTTGTTTGCAACCCGGGATAAGATAGGGAATACCCATATTTGCCTAGTTCCTGAGTATTTCTATTACCAAAAAGTAAGCTTATTTTTCAATTATGAAACCCTGAATTTATGCCCAATGGTACTTAGTGTCAATAATTATGCAAACAGAAATCAATTCACATTCCAGAAAAGCACACCATGTTCCTCCTCCGCTCATCGCTGTTCTCTACTTCCATGTATATTCTCCCATATTCGTTTTGGGATGACTTCCCTACAATTTTCCGAAACCTCTTTAGCGAACTAACTGTTCATGGTTTAAATAGTATATAACATTTGAAAGCTCCTTGCTTTCCGTCTTTGCTGACTCACTCATTTTCTTTGATAATATATTAAGTTACTTTGGATCTTATTTAATTATCTCTCGCCCAATTTGTATATCCTTTCATATTTAAATTGCCGTACTTAATCAGTAACGATTTTCATTACTTAAGAAAACAGAGATTATGTATTTTCAGGTGCCCCCTAAGAGTGCTCGAAAAATATAACCAAACATGATCTTATCTCGCAATGCCTGCGGCCGCATGTACAGTGCATCTTTACTCAGTATCTTATTTCTCATTTCCATATCATTCACACGTGATGTAGCAAGTAACAATTCCAAGCTTCTGTAGATTCTGCTTTCTTATGTACGATATTTATTCTTTCAGGTGTTCTCTTATTTTCATCTATTTAAAATTTTAGTTAGATGTAAATCAAGAAATGGAGTAGTTGACAGTTTTGCTTAATCAACATCATCATTCATCGCGTTAAAAAGATTCCGTAAAGTCTTTGCTTAAATAGGTTATTAAATGCTGAATATGTTTTATAGTTTTAGGTTTGCTAAATATGGGAACCATTAACGTCGTTTAACAGGGTATATTTTCAATATATATCTAGTGTTGATCTGCTTTTAGATTTCAGATAAAGAGATTGAATCCTATGATATTTACATAAAAAGTTGCAGATGACAATTCAGTTACAACAAGGGTAAAAATAGCAAAACGTTTTAGTTTACAAAACAGCTCATAATAACCAGTCTTTGTTTCTTGAGAATGATTTCCTATTTATTTTTACCCTATTTTATAGCAGAACAGAACAGATATTTCTTTTTAATATTTCAAAGGGCGCCATTAAAAATGCAATATTACGCCTCATATAAAACTGTATGTTTAAGTGTTGCGAGACAACAGTTCGTTTTGTTCGTTTTTGTTTTGTTTTTTTGTTTTTTACAAAAAAAATCCAGTACTCAGACATCTCATTACTCAAACCCCATTCCACTGACGAATGGAATACGGAAATTAAACAATCTTATCTGATGAAAATGTATTAGATAGTTTGTTTGTTTTGTTTGCTTGTTGTTGTGGTTTTTTGTTGGGGTTTTTTGGTTGATTGATTGATTGATTGGTTGGTTGGTTGGTTGGTTGGTTAGTTGGTTGGTTGGTTGGGCTGGCTGATTGGTTTGTTGGTTGGTTAGTTTACGCTTTATCACATGTTTTCAGTATTACCTTGTACATTAAAATATCTTTTCCAC